GACTTGAGACCGGTGAAAGGAGCGACGAGGCTAGCTTGAGCAGAGGTGGTGCGGTTGACGGTGGCGACGGCAGAGGAGGAGATGGAGGCCATTTTGTGGGGAAGGCGATGAGTGATTTGAGTCCACATTGATCCATGGGTATATATAGTGGTATTTACCATGTAAGGGACAAAACAAATCTATCCAAATTCGGACGTAGTTGTGGCTCATGACATTACATGCATCATGTCCACATAAAAAGGTGGATGTAATGCCTTATCATTAACCAATAACCACCATCACCATGCAACATGCCCTCCTTTAATTCATGCTTTTACATTTCAGGTATTACATCTATACTTTCTTCACTCTCTTACTTAATAATGTGAGTTTCAGAATGTTCCAGGAGTAGGGGAAAACACTATTAGGGACCGTTTATCAAATACTTACCCGGTAAATGTTTAACGGTAAAATTTTACACTATCACTTAATTACTGGGTAAGACTTTAAGTACATCAAAACGGCATCATATGCAACAATTTACCTAGTAAGCACTTACCATGGTAAGAGTCGACACTCTCACTTACTGAGTAAGACTCCCGGACCTTGTCTCAATCTTACCGAGTAAGATTCTTGGTCCTTACAATATTCATCCGGTAAGGTAATATGACTTGATAAACGCTTACCCGGATAAACGTTTAGTAAATGACCCCTTAGTCACTGTATGGTAATATAAGCTAACTTATTTATAAATTAGTTTCTTTTATAAATATAATATATTTATTAATAATTTATATTAATTAAAATATAATATAAATAATAAAAACAGAAAATAAAATAAATAATATATATTAATTAATAATTTTTTTTAAATAATAATAAAATAAAAACTAATAGTAACTAAAGGACAAAAAAAACATAAAACAAATCATTTAAAGACTAATTAGGGGTGCCATTAGCCTCCCCCTTTGTATTTTGAGATGGATAAAAACCGGTTATAACTCAATCTTTAATTAACCGGTCCTAGTAAAAGGAATGTCATCATGTAACTTGTTATGACGTTATCAGTTTTTGAGGTTCGGTTCACCTTTACCGGTCCGTTGATTGATTGATGAGCATCATGTGACACTTTCACCCTAATGTGTTGTAATATGTTTTTAACCGTTCCCTATTTACTTGTCAGAACGTAGCTAGTCGTGGTATGGAATTCGGCCGGTCTTAACTGGTTCTCGAGTCTTGTTTATAATTGATGGTTTTATTACTTTAATAACGAGAATTTGAGAATGTTTTAGGAGGGAATAAGATGTCCCAGTGTTTATAAAGATTCTTACTAATCTTATAATCCTTGAGGCGATTTAAATTAAAAATGTTAAAAGCTATTATATGTGATTTGCCTGTTGTTTGGGTGAAAAATCTATAATAGCAACTGATTAGGATAATATCCACGACATAAGTTTGTGCATAACCACGAAAGCTGATTATTTAACTAATTACCGACATCTGTTACTTTTATAATATATTATTAAGTCATTCTAAAGAGACAACTGAACGATTCATATGCTCAAATACTCTTAAGGAAACTTATGTTGCTGGAATTTCTATTCAATCACGTTTTGCGTATTACCCACGTTCATTACATATATGGCATCTCTTATTCATTCCATTGCAAATCCGGAAACAAACATGAATTAAGAGGAAATGGAAAAAATATGACAAAACCCTAAACATTCAAACAAACCCGAGTCATCGTTAGAGAAGAGGGTCGATCGAAAGCTTTGGAGTAGGGGTTGCTTAGTAGCCTGGTGGCTT